AACAGAATGTCAGGTCGAGATGCAGTTAGATATAATAAAGAGCCTATCATGCTTCTATACACCTTCTGATCAACCTTTTTACCATTTTCATCTTTGTCCAGTTTGGATGAATGAGACATGGGAATGTCTGTCTTCTTGCAATTCTGTAATCCAAATTTCTTGATAATCTCCTTTGCATACTTCTCTTGGCAAATGAAAGTACCATCTTTGGTTTGTTTCACTTGAAGGCCCGCGCTTTAATCTCTCCTTGACCTTCGGAAAGTCATTCTTGATCCTACTTTCATTTTCGAAACCGAGGCCGGATTTGTTATAATAAGGGACTTGAATGGATAGAACATGCTCTAATGTCTTTGAGCCAAGAGAAAATTTTTTGCAAATCTTCGGAATTTCTTCCTTATAGGGATCGACTTCTTTTTGCAAAATATCATTTTCTTCCTTGACAGAGGAATTCTCCTTTTCAAGCTCAATGATCCTTTTCTCATTCGTAATATTTTGTTGCTTCAATTTAGAGACTTCCTTTTTCAACTTGGAGATCTTCTTCAACGCATTCTCATGTTCCGTGCTTAACTCTTCAAAAAGATCATCATCATCGAGAATAGGATATGAACAAATCACCTCATCTTCTTCGGATTCAATGTCCGCCATTAAGCATAGATTTCCCTGCTCAAGGATTTCATCATTGCTGGATTCAGACTCTTCATTGTCGTCTCTGTTCTTAAGATATTTTCTTTCTCCGGATTTCTTTGTTGGCTTCTTCTCTTTGGGGTTTCTTCTCTTTCTCACAAGGTGTTGAAATCTTTTGATCAGCAACTTCATCTCCTCATCGTCGTCTTCTTCATCTCCCTCAAAATCTGTTTCATCAGAATCAATGTTAGATTTTAAGGCAATTAACTTCTTACCTTCTGGATCTTCTTCATGTATACGTTCTACTTCATATGACTGAAGAGTTCCAATCAGTTCATTCATTGATAGTGGCATGATCCTTTGAGTCTCTCGAAGTGAGGTTTTGATGTTGTCCCACTGCTTTGACAGTTCTCTCAAAAGTTTGTTGACTTTCATCGCATCTGAGACTGGTTGTCCTTGATATGCAAGACCATTTACTATGTCAGCAAATCTGTCATACATATCAGCAACTGATTCTCCTGTCTTCATTCTGAACGATTCATATTGTCCAAGCAACAGATTGATCTGTGTTTCCTTCGCTCTATCTGTTCCTTCATATGTGGTGTAGAGGGTGTCCCAGATGTCCTTTGCTGATTCACAAGAAGCAATTTTCTTATACTCAACAGGTGATAAAGCACAATAAAATGAATAAATTGCTTTTGAATCTAAAGCTTCTCTTTTTGTTATCTCAGTTTGAGATAATGAAGGATCTGCTGATTTGCTTTCTTCTTGCTTCTCGTTTGAAGCAGATACGGAATGTTTTGGATTGATTCCTCTGATGACAACATCCCATTGCATGTGATCAATTGATTTGATGAATGCCTTCATCTTGTTTTTCCAGATGCTATATTCTTTGCCATCGAAATATGGTGGCCTGGAATTGCTTTGTCCTTCAATAAGACCTGGAGCACTCATGCTAGCCATATAGATCGTTAGCTCATAAGTAAAACACTTCAATAAACGAGCAACCTGCTCTGATACCAATTGATGTAGCTAGCAAGGATCACCTAGAGGGGGGTGAATAGGTGATCTAAAACAAGTTTCAATAATTTATGCAGAAACAAAATAAATCGCAGAAGAGTCTGAATAAAATTCAGATTCAAGACAGATTATATAGACTGTGCTCTTGATGTGCGAGAATGTAAAGTAAGAGATAAGGGATAGAGAATCTGCACACAAGTTTATAGTGGTTCGGCTTATAGCAAGCCTACGTCCACTCTCCCACGCTTACAGCCTACTGGCTGGATTCCACTAATCAAATCAATGAGAAGTTACAGCAAGTTGTGCCGCTTAAACCCAAGCACTTCTCCCCGGCGGTGCTGCTTATACCAAGCCGATAGATCACACTATCTCACACCTAAGCACACACTTATAACACTATCTACACCTCTCAAATGATTACGCGTTTAAGCTCACGAAAGACAAGAGATTGAATCGGAGTAAGCTCAGACTTTGGACTTGTTGATTCTTGATTTCGTTCTCTACCTTCTGCTCCTCGTTGATCTCCTTTTATACTCCTCCACTTCCAAACTAGCCGTTGGACAGTCTTCAGAGGATCATCTTCCAATATTCACCTTTGGACAGATTTGTATAAAATGGATTGAGTAGCCGTTGGTTGATAAAATCTGAATCCCGCTGATTCTGGTCGCCCATACAATCAGAATCTTGGTTTCCATAAGTAGAACTTTGTCCGTTGTAATGCATTCTTGTCATGATGTTTGATTGTCAATCAATTTGATTCGATTGAGACAATCGAAACATTCCTTCAGTGAAATCCATGCCGGATCACTAGCCGTTGTGTTACGTTCACGATTCTCGTCCGCATCGGAAGAACTCCCGTGTCTGCGTCGAAGAATTTCTGCGTCCGAATAATTTCTTCTGCGTCTGACGAATTTCTTCGTCTGAATAATTTCTTCGTCTGCATCTGCATCTGAATAACTTCTGCATCTGCATCTGAATAACTTCTGCTTCTGAATCTCAGAACTTCGATTATGTGGGTCTTCAAAAACATATTTGATAGATTGTAAAGTCTGAATAACTTTCTTCTGAACTTCCAGAATATACAGACCTGGAATGAAATTGTTCAGAATGAGTATTAGATTTACAATAACACAGAAGGTTTTGTCAACCTCAAAATCAATAGGAGTTTTCCTCAACACTTGAAACTCTCAAGTGTTTCATATTAGGAAAATTTGGGAATGGATGAGGATATCAAGTAGAATAGATATTGTCAATGATGATTTATTGATTCTGAATATATATGCTGCATACACTGTTTCCGCCCCTTAGACGGAAATGGCACCTTCCTCAAGTATAGCTTGTGATTTGCTGAGCTCATGAAAAACAATAGGGAAAATTTAAATAAGGGTATGAGATGCTCTCGTTTTCTCGAAAAAGGGCCCGAAGTGGACGTTATGTCAAATAAGGGCCTGAAGTGGTATGTTAGTGTCACTGTCTCGGGTCGATTGATCTAGCGTTCCCTTACCCGTGCGGTTTTATGAATTTTTTCCCAAGTCAGCCTTTCCATACTCACTCACAAGACTTTTAGAGAGAGAAACTTTAGAGAGAAGTTCTAGAATTGTGTTACTCTTGATGATGAGATGTCCAAATGAGGGGAGGAGACCTTTTTATATATAAGTACAGGACTGACCGTATTCGTAAATTTCTCCTCAATCTAACGGTGGACATCGTACCTTTTCAACTACCACTTACCTCCATTTATTACAGGATGGTACAATTATAGTATCACCCGCCCGTAAGAGTATTCTAGAACATCCAAGAAAACCTTAGGAGTTAGAACTCTTGAGGTTTGCTCGCTTGTTCATGGGTTAGTCATGGCCCCTCGTTCAAAATCCTCATGAATGATCCAAATCTCTGGGCCACGACATTAATCTCAAATAAGGGAATGAAGTGGCCATGATAGTTTCAAGGCGACCGGCGAAATATTCCGGTCGGTCAAGAGCATTTTCGTTTAAAGATTTAAATTATTATTTTTTTTCTTTCTTTTCTTTTTATGGTTTTCTATTTGTTGTTCACTGGTGGCCGATTCTAGTGGCTGGCTAGCTACTGGCAAAGCCCGGGAGGGGCTGGGTGAGGGCCACCCTCGTCGGCAATAGCCGAGGGACGGCCTTGCTTGGGCGAGGTGACGCTCGCCCTGGGCGAGGCATGGCATCCCTTGCTAGCCATGGGTGAGGTCGGCCCTCACCAGACCTGGGCGAGGGTCGTCTCGTTGAGGCAAGACTGACCTCACCCAGATCTGGCGAGGGTCGCCTCACCCAGGCAAGACTGACCTCGCCCAGATCTGGCGAGGGGGTGGCTTGCCTAGGTGAGGCCGTCCCTCGCCAAATCGGGCGAGAGCGACCCTCGCTTAGTCCTTCCCAAGCTTTGCCGGTTGCTAGCCACCTGCGAAGAACAAACAGAAAACTAGAAAAAGAAAAAAGGAAAAAAGAAAGAAAAAAAGGAAAAAATTCAAAAAAGTAAAAAGAAGAAAATGCTCTTATCATTCGGAAAGTTAGACCCTTGATTGAAACAAATATTGCCACTTCCGGCCCTTATTTGAAACTAAATCCACTTCAAACCCTCATTTGACAAAATGAGGATACTTCAAGTCCTTATTTGATACAAAATCCACTTTAGACTCTTATTTGAGAAAATAATAGCATTTCAGGCTCTTATTTGAAAAATTTCCAAAACAATAGGTGCAACTTGTTTGCAAAGAATTTAAAAATGATCGTGGTAAAGTATGATTGTGTTTGCTGGAATTGATTTCAGATGAAGGTGTCTAACATGAACAAGAGAACAATGGTGGCACGGTATCATCCTTACCAAGGTGAGGGACACCATTGGACATTCTGTCGGTTGAATTTGTATGTAATTGGAATTAGGCAATCACTACGCATAATTTTCTTTTTCATTTGAAGATGCGCTAGTATTTCAATTTAGTTTAATCGAATGGGTGTTTTCATTAATTTTCCATAATTACTTTTTCTAATCTAACATTTGAATAAAATTAGTTTAATTCTTTTTGTTTTTTTTTCACGAAAAAATTTCATTTACTATGCTCTCGAAAATTTAGATTAATTTTCATAAATTAATCCTTTTAAAAATTTAAATTACTTAAGGTTGTCTTAAGTAATTATGAACACCAGACAAGACAAAAAAAAAAGAAGGTAGAAGTGGAGAAGAAGTGACGTGGCATCCTATGCAAAATGGAGAAATTCAAAAAAAGAAAAGAAAAGAAAAAAAATAGCATGTTTGAGAAAGGCCAAGAACAATCTCCGAGCCTCTGTCACAAGGCGGTAGAACCTCCTTTTTCTTGATGCGTCAAGAAGCTGATCGAAACTTCCTCAACAGTCTCGAAACACGCACTCTGTTGAGCTCCTCCTCTCTATAACCCTTGACGCTCTCCAACTCCTCCTCGTCAACACACGAACAGCTCAGTCTTTACCTGAAGCAAACATACTGGGAGGATCCAAAGCCATGGCGCTGGCTCGTTTGGCCCTCAAGAACATGCAGCAGAGGCTGGGTTCGGCTTCCTCTGCCCCTTCTCTATGCAGGGCAAACCAGATTAGACATGGGTGGAACAGCAGTGACGAGGCGATGGTGATGAATAGGAGGTTCCTGTCAACAGCGACCGAGAAGGCTTCCGATGACAAGGAAGTCGCGGTGAGCGAGAAAGGTGACGGCAGGAAGTCCAGGCTCTTCCCCAGGAGGAACCGCAGGAGGAGCCTCTGGAGGAGGAACGATGATGCTGACTTCGTCCCTGCTCTTTATGGTAATATGTTTATGTCCATTATAGATTCTTGGTTTCCTGTATTGCTTCGAAGAACAGGATTAATGTGGAGAGATGTTAATGAGCGCAACAATTTCTCGTTTGGTTCATCCATTTGGGTTCGGATTTGTCCAAGATTAGTAGGGTATTTCATGATAGGGAAAGTTTCACTCCCCTGGTCAGAGCAGAGGTCTACACGGACAAATCAGGATCAAACTTGTTAAATCAAACTCATCAAGATTCAAGAATGCTTCTGATGCTAATTTTTTTTTTTTTTTTTTTTTTTTAACACCTTGGTTTTGAACACTTTTTTTTTTGGAATTTTTCAGAGTTCTTTCCTTCAGGGCTCGGCAACGCGCTGATGCAAGCGACGGAGAACATAAACAGGCTGTTCGATAACATGCACATATCGCCAGGGCAACTCATGGGCCGAGTCAAAGAGAAGGACGACCACTACAAGCTGAGGTACGAGGTCCCGGGGCTGACCAAGGACGACGTGAAGATCACCGTCCACGACGGGATCTTGATGATCAAGGGCGAGCACAAGAGAGAGGAAGAGGAAGGGTCGGATGGCGAGTACTGGTCTGCAGAGACGTATGGGTATTACAACACGAGCCTAACCCTGCCTGAGGATGCTAAAGCGGATGAGATCAAGGCTGAGTTGAAGGATGGTGTGCTCACCATTGTCATTCCCAGGACTGAGAGGCCCAAGAAGGATGCTAAGGAAGTGAAAGTCCAATGAGTGTCCTTTGTTTATATGAGTGTGTGAAGCAGGTTCTTAGTGACGTTGTTTGTTTGGTAGACTGAGAAATCGCTCTTAGGTTTGGCTTCAGCCTTGGTAGTTTTGGCCCTCCTCTCGTTGATGAGTAGCTTGTTAATAAAGTTTGTCAGGGTGTGGCATTGACAGTATTCATGTACTAAGATGAATCTCTTAAATTAAAGAACTTTAAACATATAAATGGTATTGATGATAACGTGGACAATCAATTACAGATTAAGAAATGTGTTCAACCCCGCAATTGATTATTGTAGTCTGTCCATATTGGTCGTGGTTTTCAAGTAATAAGAATAACCAGAACAGAATTCTCGATGTTATTTGTCCCTTAGTAGAATTTCTTGGTAACCACAAAGTGCATAAGAAAATCTCTGCGAGTCCCTTGTAAACATACTGGACGAACTGACAGGAATTTTGGTACACACTGAGGGGCACTAGTCACCCAAATGGAGTTGGGACTATCTTCAATGTGCTCAGACGATGGTCCAAACATCTCAAAAGTATTAAACTTGGGATCAGCTAAAATGGGTCAGGGCCAACAATCTCAAGATGATTAAGGTTAAAGAAATCAAGGCATTCATTAAATGCTTAGTCAGAATGCACCACTTTCCAATCTCTCCTCCTTCTCTTTCCTGTTGAATTTCTTCTCCATTGGTGAAGTATGTGAACTCTGTCTCTTCTTCAGGGGACACCCTTCATTCTGGTCTCTCTCTCTCTACTGATATTTCCTTTCCTTCCATAAATTCCTGCCTCAGTTCACTAAGGATTGTCTTAGGAAGTTGTTCCTCCCTCTTGCCCTCTCTCTCTCTCTCTCTCTCTCTCTCTCTCTCTCTCTCTCTCTCTCTCTCCGTGTCTCTGTGTGTGAAAATCCCCGCGTCTCCATTGTTACATGCATTATTCCATCTTCAGATACAGCCCGGTGAGAAGTTGTGTGAACTGTGATGGATAGTTCAACTGGCCATTCACATGCCTTGTTAGTTGCAGCGACTTTTATCTTCGTCTTCAGTCTCACGATTCCGCCATTAAATTCAGGTAAAGAGGAGGTCTTCATATTCCTTTCTCAATTGGGTCACTCTTTTACTTTTCATCTTATATCATGTCATGTTATCAAAGTTTTTCTTTGGGATTGTATTCTACACTCAGTATACACCGAGTGATGCTTTTCAACTTGTTTCGTAGGTGAGATCCTGAAGCACAGAGAGATGATTCTGGGCTCGAGGCCTCCTGATTGTGTGGACAGGTGCTTCGGTTGCATCCCTTGTGTGCCGGCTCTGGTTGTTCCAGGCTACCAGAAGAAGCATTTCGGGACATCGTCACGTGAAGATCACAGCCATAACTTCCAGACGGAATGGTCCAGAACATCGTCGTCTGATGACGATAAAGACGATGATAGTTACTATCTCCTCTCATGGAGATGCAGATGCGGAGACAAGATCTTTCATCCTTAGACTCCAGCAAAATGAGAGTACCTGGAATTAGTGTTATGTAGGAAGGCTATCGCTCTTCTGTAGCTCGCTTGCGTCTATGTCCCGACTCTGAGTCTAGTATGGGGTCTTAAATGCACAAAAGCCGCGAACATATATTAAGTAATGAAGCTGCTTCTCAGTATCATTCCTTCTTGTCCTAGTGTAATTTACTTTGAAAACTTTGGCTGAGCAATCGAGAGGCCGAATACGATTCACATGAACGTGAATGGATGGGATCGTCGACATCAGGCACATTGTCATGTTGCCGTGAGCAGATGAAAGTTCATGGAGAAAACAGAGAGGGGCTTTTGGTAGTCGCATCTTGATGTTGCCAGTTCAAAGAAGGCTCGTTCTCAATACCGTACAAAATCACAAGTACGATCCTCCTTTTTTCTGTCGCTGCTCGCTCTGTATCATACCATCACTTCATCAGTTTGGCAAACATTATCGCGCCTTCCCTCAACTTGAGAACATCCACTATTCAAATTTTCAACAGCGTTACTACTCTTCAAGCTACTCATCTAAAATTCTAAGTTTTTATTCTGCCGACTCGTGCTGCTTTGCCTCCAAACCGTCGACTAAACTTGCTAGTTTACGGACGAAAATCATGTCATGTTTTCGTATTTCGTGTGGCCATTCTTATCGACAGATCCGGAACGGAATAAAGAAAGTAATTTACCAAACGACGACCCTACAAAAGGTATATGGTCTGGCAACCAGAAAATAGAAAAGAAAGATGACAGGTCGATTGTCGCGAGTAAGGGCGAGCATGGAATCCATTCTGGAGCAGAACAGTATAGAAATGCGTTTGTTAAAAAATTTCCGGAATACATTCTGAAGCAATTTTTGCATTCTGGAATAAAAATGCGTTTGTTAAAAATACTTGATTCCAGAATGCATTCTTGATTCCAGAATGAGTTTTGGGCAAGAAAAAGAGAAGCTACTTTTTGTAGCTTCTCTCTTCCAGAATGCATTCTCCATCTTTTCTCTCTTTTTCGTAGCCTTTACAACACATTTTGAGATCTCACTAATTTTTTTTTTCAGAAAATGCATAAAAATTGAAAAATTCCAAAAAAATTCATAAAAATTTCCAGAAAATAAAAAAAGTCAGACTTCGGGAAAATAAGAAATTTGGTGAATTTTTTTCAAAAAATATAAAAAAAAATAAAAATTTCAAAACTTCACAGAATGGCTTAGAATCCACCTTTGAGTGAAATTTTAATTTTTTTAGGTGTCCAAAAAAATCAAAAATTTTAAAACTTCACAGAATGACTTAGAATACTTGTGGCCACCCACTTTGAGTGAAATTTAAATTTTTTGAGGTGCCCCACTTTGAGTGAAATTTAAATTTTTTGAGGTGCCCAAAAAAAATCAAAAATTTCAAAACTTCATAGAATGACTTAAGAATACATGTGGCCACCCATTTTGAGTGAAATTTAATTTTTTTGAGGTGCCCAAAAATATAAAAAATTTCAAAACTTCACAAAATGGCTTAGAATATCTTTGGCCACCCACTTTGAGTGAAATTTAAATTTTTTGAGGTGCCCAAAAAAATCAAAAAATAAAAAATTTTAAAACTTCACAGAATGGCTTAGAATACCCGTGGCCACCCACTTTGAGTGAAATTTTAATTTTTTTAGGTGCAAAAAAAATCAACAAATCAAAATAGATTTCTGTTCCAGAAATCAATTTCTGGAGCAGAATTAGTCATGTTTTATCAAACAGATTTCTCCTTCGGAAATTAATTTCTAGCAAGAATTCCAGAAATCAATTTTTGGCAAGAATTTGATTTCTGGAGCAGAATGGTTACCATTCACGCCCTAACTGTTCAGAAGATAGTGGCGTCGGAAACATCCGAACCGACGCACAACTCCTTACAAACAAGCCAACACATATTGGGCAACTCCAAGGGTTCAAATTATACGAACAGGTGAAACTCGAGGGACGCAAAAGTGAGAGGAAAATCTTTTCTAGGGGGGGACAAAATTGAACATCAAAGCTGTGTAGTGGGGGGTCAAAATGAAATCCAACCTTATTTTTGGTTGGGCCCAGAAATTGGGCCCAACCAAAGCCCAGCCCAAGCCAACGTGATCCCGTGATCTTCCAATCTCTCAAAACAAAAATGGAAGCTTTCATTTTCATTCCATCGAGCGCTCTAGAAAATGCCGATTCTCTCTCCGCCGACATCACTCCGCGCGCCGCCGCCGCCACCGAGCTCGGCAGTCCCTCTGCTCTTCTCCTCCTCCTCCTTCCCCATCTCCCGCTCTCCGTTCTCCGCTTTCCACTTCGAAGCCAATCGCGCCTCGTCTCCTCCAATCGATCTTGGCCGTCCGTTCCCGCCGTCCCCTCTAAGCCCCACCGCTCGGCCCCGCCGCCGCCGCCGCCTCGGGGCTGCCCGTGTTCCGCCTTCGCCGCCGGAGCCCGGTCCTCCGCCCGAAAATGGCTCTCGTCGGTTCAGAAGTATGCACTTTGACTCTGCTGAGCTCGAAATTTCCTTTTTTTTTTTCTGGATTAACCTTAATGTGCCCCATGTATACATTCATTGATTTTGGCGTTGCTCATGCCATTACCATTTCCAACCGTGTTAAGCTTGGCTGATTGTTAACTTGGGGTTCAATTGGCTAATTTCTTGGCATTATAATTGGAATAGCTTGTTGATTGATTCGGATTATGTGGGCTCTTAAATGAAATCGTTTGAAATCGTCTCATTGATATGCGCAGTGCGCTCTTTTCGTCGTGTGAATGTCAGGATTTAGTAGGTTATTATAGCTCAAAGTTTTTCTGTTAGTTTGAAATATCACTTACATTAATCGTGCTAGTTTGTAATTCGGAAAGCGCTTTAATTATGTTCTCGGGCACGGTATAGATTGATCTGTAATTAGGTTGCTTGTGTTCGAATGTGAATGATTGCTCGTGCTTGTCAAGAGCGCTTGCATTTGCGATAACTACTGATGGGTCACATAAAAATAGTATAGCGGATTATAGAAGACAGCTCTCATTGTGTGGACCTTATTCTTATGGTATAGATGTTGAACGTAGTAAATGCTAGTCGGGGTAAAATCTCTTGATCGATTATTAGTTGAGATTGGTATGCATTACAAGGTGAGTTTGAGTACTTTTATGTTTGACTTGTGTGGCTTTCTTTTCTCATCGATAGCGCTTCAAACCTTGACACGTGGGAAAGGTTAGTCTGCAAATCTATGAGAGGCAGAATAGTCATGTTGGATGTATTCGTATAATTGGTGCTGATTAGGTTAGGTGGAGGTGTTGGGAAGAGATTACTCAGAATCAAAATCGTCAAGCATCGTAGAGTCTGCTAGAAAGACATTTAAAGGTTAACTGTCCTTCAAAGTGGGCTGGTTGTTTAGGAAGCGCACATGAGAGGAACTTTTTAACAGGCTTTTTTGTTATGTCGGCTAGTAGGAGGAGATGAAAGCTGGGAATGAGTCTCACGACTTATTGGGTCTCAATTAAGGGTCAACCAATGCTTGGCTGATCCTTGTCCCGCTAATTTTTTAATAACTTGTGGATTTTTTGGGTAGCATCACTCTGCTTGCGGATTTTGCTTTAGGGTGGCAGGCATGGACGCTTGGGGCTTTTTTTGCATGACCCATTACCGTTTGCTAAATTGCCCCAAAAGGATAAAAAGGCTTGAATTTTGAGTCCTTTGGCTGAGAAGTGGGCTACTCTTCATTGCACCAGAAAAACGAATTTGCTTGTAGTCAACATTTTGGGCTGGATAAGTTCTGATCTGCGATCTATCTATGTCGTTATTAAGTTTCCTGTCAAGATGTACCGCGACACTGTCTGAGAGTTGCAATTATGGCTGAAGCATCAGTTTTGAGCCTATTAATTTGCACCTGATGTTCATTTTATATTTTCTCTTCATCCGTGGCAGGCGTTGCAGCATCTTTATCTAGACTTCAGGACAGTGTGCAGATTTTCTTTGCAGTTCTTTTCTGGATGTCTCTGTTTTTCTGGGCCTCTGCATGGGACAGGAGAAATAGACCAAGCAAAGGATCAAGATCTAGAAGATGATCTAGTTAGTTCTGCTTTGTACATAGTAATTGCAAGTGGAGCGATACTTAGAATTTAGGATATGAATGATATTCAAATAGATGGTGGACACCGTTCCTATTTTCTTATTACTTAATATATCCAGGTTCTGTAACAATTGCAATCACAAAACTTATGCAACACATACATTCAATTTGGCAGGATTTAGGTTCATTTGATTATCTTCTATCAGAGGAATATCTAGTTTAGCTTCTTTGATTTAGTACACCATTGGAGGAGATGAATCTCCAATTGAATATCCCAACTGGATTTTGTCGTCTTTTCTCTTTCCCCTTCTAAGCATAGCAGCCTCCATGCTCCAGATTGAACTGTTGACATTGTCCATCCCGGAGACATGATTAATCTCTGTTGATCTGATCTGTTCATGTGAGGTTGTTATTCTTGCTGCCAGTCACAGTTGTATTGCGATGTTCTCCATGTATTTCTCGAAGTCTTTCTTTTTTCTGTCTCTCAACCGAAAGCTTTGGAGAACGCTTAACTGGTCTAACTAGGACATAATGGAGAACCACAAGATACCATCCGGTATAATTGTTCTGAAGTGAGATGTCGGATCAGCATAATCTGATCACATCAGGGTGGCATTGGGGCACAAGAACAGTTTCTAAATTCTGCAAAGATTAGCCTTCAGATAAGTATGTTCTTGCGCATTAACCGCCGAGTATCTGTAGTCATTTTAATCTTAGCCTTTCGTATGTACCAAGGGAACCCAATAAGGATAAAGCAAGTATCTTCTATAACGATTACGTCGTCGAGAAATGAACTAATCGAGGTTTGGGTAATTTTGAAGATACTCTCTCCACCTATAAGAGGAAGCTAGACTGTTACTGTAACAACCACATTGTAAAAGTCGACACTCCAGGATGACTGCTAATTTTGTGTTGGTAGTCACTCTGAAGTGATACACGACACCATGCTTATTTTTCGCGAAACAAAAGCATCCTTAGATGACGATTAAAAATATCGTGCTCATCGCTATCAATCCCTGTAATGATTGATTTCGTAGCCCATATTTGGCTGTTCATCATTTGCGATTCGTCCCAATATTGATTTTACGCGACTTATAAGTAATGTGACGACTCTTTCTTTACGATGTCGTGCGTGTGCTGCACTCGTAATGCCACGAAATAACAACAAAACGATGATAAAAACCCATGGTTATGCTAACAGCTATTGCAATTGTCTTTTCTGGGTAAGCCCATCTTGACTGGCCAGTGACAATTACATCACACTCGGGCAAATACAAAACGAATAGAATCCAAAAGGATGGGCAAATCCTCGTCGCATGTGGCTTTCTCGGAATTTACGCCTTCTGAAACTACCAAGTGTCGCGAGTTGTTTGGACAACATGGGAGAAGAGCTAAGACGACGATGGAAGTCACCTGTCTGTCTTTACTAATTTTACGTCATCGTCTTGTCGCTCGAGAAGCACATCGCCGCCCAAAATGCTCACATGAACTTGTCTGTCTGCGTGCATGGCGCACACTGTCTTCGTGTCCTTTGCTTCTTCCGTGGGCTTGTATCACGCTGCCACCATTTACAGGGTGCGATGGAGAAGGTCATGAACCGTACTGGCATTTTAATGGCGACAGCTTTGGGGTGCCAGGTCGCTCTACAGAGTCGCTGCTGGTCTTGTTTGTTTTCTCGTGCTGGTGCTCCAGTCGTGTCTGTATCTTTCTCTGCTGTTTTTATCATCTCAATCTCGATTAAACAAAAATTGTTATGTGTATATTGATGAACGAACATATAAAGGATGAGACACAGCTAGGCTTATCATATAGCTTATTCGGAAAAATTGTCCAAAAAGTCTTAAACTTATTGAACGGCGATCTTGATCATAAACTTTTCAATTGTGCCAATTTAGTCATAAACCTTTTTACAATTTGCTAATTTAGTCTTAAACCTTTTAATTGTCCCAATTTAGTCTTAAATTTTTTGAAAATTACCAATATAGTCCTAAACATTTTAATGAATTACCAATGTAGTCATTCCAGTTAATTTTGGCCGGAAATTGATAACATGATTGTCCAGCCAACGCCGACCATCCAACGTAGCGCAGTTAGCGTTCACATGAACAAATTTTTAATTTTTTTAAAAATTTGTCGTTGATTTTTTTTTATTTTACGGGCCCTCGCCTGCAGCCCTTACCCAAGGGACCAACGGAGGTCGCAGGCCCTGTGAAAAAAAAAAATCCTAAATTGATACATTTGCGACAAATTTACCCCGAACTAATTTTTTGACACAAAAAATCTCAAACCGGTATACTTGTGACAAATTTTCCCTCTATTAGTTTCCGTTAAAATTTACTGTCAAATTGCTGAGTTTGATGACATATGGCAGTCGACGGATATACCAGTTTGGAGTTTTACCATCCGTTTATCACATGTGCACCAGTATATGATTTTTCATAGTATTAATTTAACAAAAACTAACGGAGGGTAAATTTATTACAAATGTACCAGTTTAAGATTTTTTGTGATATTAACCCTAATTTAAAATATTTTACTCTATCAGGTACTTGTTGTTCTTAGTTTATCTCACAAGGTAAAAAAGATTATCAAAATTACTATTCGCAAAAGAAAAAAAAAAGTTTTCTCCCATTAAATTAAATGCATTAAATGTTCAAAAGTCTAGTTTAGTATAATATATTAAATATATATATTTCATAAGAATTTTTTAGTTTTTATTTTTGATAATTAATAGGCGTACTTAGTGAGGAGGAGTCAAGATTATATATATATATTAGATAGATGTAAAGAAATGATATTTCTTTTTTCTTTTACTGGCAAAACAAAGAATAACAAAATCTGAAGGTAGTTTTTAGCCTACGGGGCATTTTCCTGCTTCGAACTGAGGTCTAATGTCTAGGAGATAAAGGATGGGTGGTACATTGCACCATCCTCCTCTCAATTAGCATGTAATAGCAAGTGTATTAACCTACGCGGGTCACCATCCATCCTCTCAGTTGTTAGTGGTTCTTCTATAAGATGCCTCCCTCTCCTCTGTTTGTCCTCAACAGAGGAAGATCTCTTCCTCTCTTCTCTCGCTAAATGCTTCCTCTCTGAAACTCTTTAGACCCCGCAGCAGTACAAGATCGTAAGCAAAAACAATGATTTTGAGAAGCTCCTCCACGCCAATACTCAACTCATGGCTTCCTCACTCGAGGGACTCTGCACCAGAACTCGACCTCCAGGCGCTTCATCACCCAAGAACCAGATCGCTGTCGTTAACGACGCAGCTTTTCCCCTCTCCACCTCACTCTGATGAACCCACCAAGAAAGTGGTAGCATCCACCAAGCCACAAGCCTTGGCTGAGGCCAAAGCCCAAGACCCTCCAAAGCTCAGTAAGAAGAAGATCAACCTCCCTCAGAGCCATAACAATGTCGAACCAACCAAAGCTCGATCTTCTTCCATGAGAAACGATGAGGATCAAGAAGACGCAAAACCCAACTCAAGAACAGGGCCTTCTTCGCTGAGGAGGCTGCTTTCAAGTTCTGGGCTTGATGGGGCTGTTCTTGTTGAAGAGGATTGTGATGTGGTGAAGAAAGAGGGTGATGGGCTTCAGACCCTGGTTGTGGGTGGTGGAATGGGAAGCGGCGGGAGCAGCGGAATTTGCGGCGGTGGCGGTGATGGTGGTGGCAGAGGAGGATCGGACAGCCGAGATGGAGGGTTTGGATTCTACGAGAATAACAAGAATCCTGGTATTGATAGCACTGATGCTTATTACAGGACAATGATTGAAGCCAATCCAGGGAATGCTCTTTTGCTCGGGAACTATGCCAAGTTCTTGAAAGAGGTATCAACAGCTTGATTATTCTAAAAGTTCCTGTTTTGATTATAAAAAGAAATCTGTTGCCACTATAGCATGCTTGAAGTGAATTTCACTATTATGAGCTCGTTTGTTCAGCCTAATCTGATGATCTAGAATGTTCCTTTTAAGTACTTTTGAGCTGGATCATAAGTTTTTCCGATTTCGAAATAATGGATGTGAATGGAACTTCGGATGCAACAGAGACCGAAATGATTAATGAGGAGAAGAAATGGGCATTCTTTATTTTGTGGGTCTCTGTGTTTATTGCCAATTCATGAAATTGGGGTAATCCTCATGCTGCAACCAGGTTTGCGGAGATTTAGCTAAAGCAGAGGAATACTGTGGCAGAGCGATTCTGGCTAACCCGAAGGACGCAAACGTCTTGTCCCTCTATGCAGATCTTATATGGCAGACACACAAGGACACCCATAGAGCTGAGAGTTATTTTGATCAAGCAGTTAAAACTGCACCTGATGATAGGTATATCTATCTACATAAGCTGCTGTTTTTATTGCGACCTCTGTCAGTATTCCTAGCTCGGGTAATGAAGTGATTCTAGATTTTGGTGGGCTTGGATTCAAAAACTATGGGTATCCATTAATTTACCTTCTAGGACTAGTTGGAAGAATTGATCAAGTAGTTTGAAGAAGTCTGGTGGCAAATTTCTAATGTCATTCTCCAGTAAAAGTTTGTTTTGCTGCAGAGATACTTAATATCTAAATGCTGTTTCATTCGTTGCAGTTATGTCCTGGCTTCTTATGCCAAATTTCTGTGGGATGTTGAGGAGGAAGAAGAGGAGGAGGATGAACATGGCAACACTTATCCAACTGATTTCTTTCAAGAAGCTCCTCACCACCACCCTCTCACTGCAACTTCTTAAATAATCCCCTCCTACTTGCTTGGAGACAAAGCAAAATCTATTTGAGTTGTATAATATAATAGCCGAAAAGAATAGCTTCGCTTTCTTGTAATTTCGAACCAACGAACTGTAACTATATGCTCATACGCGAAAGAAAAAATTGTCTTTTTATCTTCCTTTCTTGGCCCAATTTGGCTTCTGCATATTGAGCTAAGTAAATTGATTCTGCGGAAACAGTTCCTGATCAGCCAAAAATGCATTATGAGAAGGTATATTGGTGGCTAGGGCTATATAGACGATAATATTTTGTATTTTGAGCAAATTGAATTACAGTTGGTTCTAATCAAGCCGGGATAAGTACACGAGGAGTGCCATAACTTTTGTGCATCGCTCACTTGAGTGCCACAATTTTGAAAAATTGATCACTTGGGTGCCATCGATGATTTGCTTGGTCGGAAAAACTGACGTGGCATTAATTTATAATACATTATCCAACATGACGTGTCGGAATGCTGAAGTTAGCACTTGAGAAAGCAAATGATGTCACTTGAGCATTTGATCAAAGGACAACAGAAGTTCCAATAACTTCACAAATGATCGTTTCAGTGCTATAATTTTTTAGAAGCGAACATTTAGGTTCATCAATTTTTTAAATGTGACCACTTAAGTGACAGGAAGAAAGAGAGAGTATGAAAACGACTCGTTTGAGCAAGAGAGAAAGTCTGAAAATGACCTGTTCTAATTGGGGAAGATTTTAAAAAAGCAGCAAGAAACAACCACGTTTGTTATACCCTTGTTACCCTGGACAAAAATTTCGACATTGGACTTCAGTTTATTTTTAAATATTCCATATCAGAATGGAAAGTTAAGAAAAAAAATTCATGTAAGACGATTTGCCGGAAATGGCACTTAAGTGATCGATTTTACATCGATGTGGTACTCAAGTAAGCGCCGTACAAAAGTTATGACACTCGTAATATACTTATCCCGATCAAGCCTCATGTTTCTCTATTCTTCCTTGTAAATATTTATGCATGGTGCAAGTTCAATGATACAATCAATCTGATTCTTGGCTTCAAGTCCTTATCATGGAATTTCTCTGTTGAAATGTCCCGCCGTGGAGAAGATACTATTCATGTGGTAGAATGAATTTCGTCCATAACAACAGAATCATGAGATATTTGCTGGTGTGGCCCTTGTAATTGTGGTCTGCGCTGGTCCTTGGAATCTGAGAGACACAGGAAGTTGACCCTCGAGAGTGCAAGAACACGGCTCCTATTTTTAGCCCTAGTATTTTTATAAAATGGAATCAAACAAAAATGAATGTCTATGAGACTATGTTGAGAGAGAGAGAGAGAGAGAGAGAGAGAGAGAGAGAGAGAATAGATAGAGATATTTTTGGCACTCAATATCACTGTGACCACCACCACACTCATTTCTAAATGGAGGTCTTCTTATCACTACATTGACTAATTTGATTTTACTTGATTATAGTATTCAAAGAGGCTCTTCAGAGGAGGAGGGAGGAGGGCCACCAACAATGGCATCACAAAATATCGACGATCACATCTCTCTCTCTCTCTCTCTCTCTCTCTCCCTCTCTCTGTGGATTTTACTTTCTGGTTTATGGCTACAAATATTTCAAGTCTGTGGTCACACTCAGTATTGGTCACATGTACTCTTCATCTTGTTCTATCAAAGTTATAAGCTGATGATTATCCTCATTAATTAAAACCACCGGCCACTGTCGCAGGTAAAGTTGGGTGCTAAAGCTGCAGAGGAATGATGTCATTATGCCACAATTCTTGATGGTGTTTGTAGTACTGGTTATTGCAAGTGGTTGGAATGCTTTTTGTGTTGCATGTCTTTGACTCATTAAGTCTAGCACTCTCTGATCTCTATCTCCAGTTTTGCCATAAAAATAGCATTCCTTTTAGTGAGTTGGGATCTATGCCTGCTCAGTGTTCACCACATGAAGAGGAGTTTGATAATATCAAAGGTATTTCTGCAGAAAAGCTAAACAGGGCATTTTGCGCTCTTGGTCTGAGTCTATTCAAATGGACCCAATGGAAGTACTAGATTGTCATAAAGAACCCTTTCGTTTCTTGATCGCATTCGTACACCGCAGAAGCAAAAAATGCAGGAATGACCTTCGGTTTGCCTTTTGGAATGGATATACGCTCAGTTGCTTGGAGCCAATTTTCTTTCGTACCAGTTGTTGGGTACTTGTTTATTTCTACATCAGGTGCACCCGTTTCAGACATTGGATCGAATCGCGATCTTCAATTTCTGGTTCATAATGTTTTGCCCACAAGGCACCATTTTTCCAACAAGAAAGATGGAATGTCCTAAATTCCTCGGTTTCCTCTCATTGACCAAAATTTTCAAGTATATCCTTAGTTGTTTTAAAAACTTGTGAAAGAAAACAGAGTACGAACTTGCCAAGTTATCAGTTAACGTATCAGACTCCCAAAGTGACGGTCTTGCTAAAGCTCTGTAATCTGCGGACTTCATGGATTCAACTCATGATTGAAAACTTTACCTAGTCTTATGGTTCATGAGACACATCCCACGAAGATATTCATGGACTAAATCGTTCAATTTCCTCCAAGAAATCCAATTAAGATGAAAAGCTTGAATACCCTCTAAACAGTAGAAGACTTAACAACTGACCACAACAAACTTGCAATTATGGAATATGACATTGTTGGGAGCTCGTACCCTCACCTAGAGAGATTGTCAAGAGGGAGCTAGGAGTTATCCAATGTGGGACTATTCTGATGCAGCTCACACATGTGGGGAGATCTGGAGCTCAAGTCAGAACTCGTCAACGTCTCTAATTGGACTCATCTTCACTCAAAAATTTAAACATATAATTTATGAATTGATTAGGATATATTAACTATTCAACATCACATGAATTATCCGATGTGGGAATTTTTTAAAACAAATCACGCGTGCATCTCAACAAACATGTTTGTGTTTAGCCAAACTCCTGACTTGTGGGATGGAAGCACCAGAACATTACTAGCAGGCAGAAAGAGTAGCTTCACATCTAGCAACAGATCATTCAACCATTTCTTAGAAGGGAGCATTATCTTCCTTGAACAACAAAAAGAAGCTAAAGCTTATTTCAAATCCAATCGGGCGTGTTTCTCACTTAGCATTGTATTACAACGCGCAAAAATGAATCTTGAAAACTTAAAAAAGTGGACTTCATGACGATTCACAGATTACAGAAACTGTTTCTCTTCCGCGTGTCGCAAACAGTGAGAGATATCTCCCGCTTTTCACTAATTTGAAAATTACCTAGGACCTGACAGCTGAACTTCTGAGAGAAACGTGTCGCTACTCCAATCGATTGGTCCAGTTGAAGAGGAAATTTGGGGATGAGGTATGGCACAAAGTCCCTCAAAGCATTTGAACTACTTAAGTCATCGGTGGTCTTAAATACATTTTATCTTGTACGCACCACAGGGCAACTTTGATCGCATCCACAATCCTCCCGTCATTTTGGTCAAATTCTAGTCTAGAGTCTAGAATTTCCTCTGGCTTTCCTTCTTCCAACATTTTGCAGGCATAAGAAGGAAAATGGGCCTTTTCAGAAGATTCCCCAGGATCATAATTTTTCCTGCCTCCGATGATCTCAAGCAACATCAATCCGTAACTGTAAACATCACTCTTTTCGGATATCGGGTTGTTTCTGATCCATTCTGGTGCTAGGTAACCCCTAGTGCCCCTTAAGATCGTATACACACGGCTTTCTTCCCGGCTCATTAGCTTGGCCAAACCAAAGTCCGACACCTTCGCAACAAAATTATCATCCAGAAGGACATTCTCGGGCTTGATGTCGCAGTGGACTATCTTGACTTCACACTCTTCATGTAGATAAGCTAATCCCTTGGCTGTACCCAGAGCAATATTGAATCTAGTATTCCAATCCAGAATCTTACTGGCCTCGCTATTCTTGCAAATCCATTTGTCCAGAGACCCTTTACCCATGAACTCGTAAACAAGCAGCCGGTGAGCCCCCTCGGCGCAGAAACCTTTTAGCTTGACTAAATGGACATGATGGATGCACCCTATGGTCCTAACTTCAGCTCTGAACTCTTTCAATCCCTGGTCTATACCCTCTAGTTTCTTTACAGCCAAATCTTTGAAGACCGATCCGAATCCTCCTTTGCCAATCTTTGAAGAGAAGTTTTCCGTAGCTCTACTCAGATCATCATAACTGAAGCAGATAGGCATGCAAAAGGTTTATTACTGAATTGACACCAAAAAAAGATTTAGGACTAATTAGCACCAAAGCAAAAAGTTTAGGACTGAATTGGCACAAATGCAAAAGGTTTAGGACTTTTTTGACACTTTTCCCGAACTGTCGGTTTTACAATCTGTTTTAGGAATCCAAATCCTAAGTTCACTTTTTCATTTCTCAAGTCGCAGCCTCTCCTTCATCATCTCTCACGCTCGCCTTCTACTCTCTAGTCTCCTCTCCCTCTCCACTCCGGCGGTGCTTGAATTTGTCAACTTAGATCCCCCCCCCGCCGGGTCTCTCTCTCGTCTTACCTATGCTAGTCGCCTTCTCGTCTCCTCTCGTCTCTCTATCCGTCTTGCAGGTCAAGTCCTTGCCTTTCTCGGTCGACTTTAATCAGCTCACTCTTAGGTACTCTCTCTATGTCCATTTTGTTTTCGATTTTGATGTGTCGCGGTTTCGATTTCTTCGGCAGTTTGCCATTACCAACTGATGGCCACGATTCATGACTAACCATACCCACCACCTGTTTTTTAACTTTTGTTTTTAAACTGCCCGAAATTAGTTCCTTTGGATTTCGTTTCTTATTCAGAATATTTTTCACATCGCAAGAAGTGGATTCAGCTCCTAAACTAGTGGATATTTTGTCCGGGCCGCTGAAGTTTTCATTCAATAAAATCCTTACACTCTACATGTTCAATGAAATGCCTTCGTGGTATAAATATTTTCTAAAAAGTTGTTCCATTTTTGTTGACGCTTTGTTCCTTCAGAAATTAAACAGAAAATTAAGGGAAAATTTCAATTAAGGACCCCAAGTGGGGTCAAATTCTCAAAAAGGGGTCCAAAGTGAACATTGTGTCAAATAAGGACCTGAAGTGCTCAATCAGTCTCAAATAAGGACCCGAAGTGCCCAAAATGTCTCAAATAAGGACCTGGATCCCCGGCCGGCCAAAATACCTTCCGGCCGGCGAGATAAGTACTGTTCCGGCACCGGAACAGTAACTTTTTTATTATTTTCTTTCTTTTTTCCTTTTCCTTTTCTTTTTTTATTTTTATTTTTCGTTCTCCGCCGGCCATAGCCGGGGCCGGCGGAGGTCGCCGGCCTCAGGCGAGGCCAGCCTCGCCGTTGTCGGGCGAGGCCGGCCTCGCCGATTCGAGCAGGCCGGCCTCGCGGCGGCGTCGGGCGAGGTCGGCCTCGCCGGTTGCGGGCGAGGTCGAGCCTCGCCGTTGTCAGGCGAGGCCGGCCTCGCCCGATTGCGAGCGAGTCGAGCCTCGCCGTTGTCGGGCGAGGTCGGGCCTCGCCCGGTTGCGAGGCGAGGTCGAGCCTCGCCGGATACGCGAGGGCTCGGCCTCGCCGGCTGCTGGCGAGGCTCGACCTCGCCGGCCTCGCCGCTTGCGGGCGAGGTCGAGCCTCACCGGCGTCGGGCGAGGTCGAGCCTCGCCGGCGTCGGGGCGAGACCGGCCTCGCCGGTTGCGGGCGAGGTCGAGCCTCGCCGTTGTCGGGCGAGGCCGGCCTCGCCGGTTGCGGCGAGGTCGAGCCTCGCCGGCGTCGGGCGAGGTCGAGCCTCGCGGATCTCGGCGAGGCTCGACCTCGCCTGCAACCGGCGAGGCCGGCCTCGCCGACAACGGCGAGGCGGCCTCGCCCGACGCCGGCGAGGCCGGCCTCGCCCGCCCGAGCGAGGCGCCTCGCCCGACGCGGCGAGGCGGCCCTCGCCCGCGCCGGCGAGGGCGGCCTCGCCTCGAGGCCGGCGACCTCCTCCGGCCTCGGCTATGGCCGGCGGAGGAAGAAAATAAAAAAAAAAGAAAAAGAAAAGGAAAAGGAAAAGAACAAAAACAGAAAAGGAAAAAAGAAAGAAAATAATAAAAAAATTAAAAAGTTACTGTTCCGGTGCCGGAACAGTAACTTTCTCGCCGGCCGGCAGGTATTTTGGCCGGCCAGGGACCCAGGTCCTTATTTGAGACATTTTGGGCACTTCGGGTCCTTATTTGAGACTGATTGAGCACTTCAGGCCCTTATTTGACACAATATTCACTTTGGACCCCTTTTTGAGAATTTGACCCCACTTGGGGTCCTTAATTGGAATTTTCCCGAAAATTAATGTTGTAGACCGATTCTAGGGTCTAAAGGGTTGGTTCCCGGTTTAAAAAGTCGAGAACCAGCCCTAACAAGGTAAGTCTCAAGTCTAAAACCTACTCACCCGATACCAATCTGATGGAGTTGTGGAGTCTGACAGAGAAAAGTAATATTCAAGCACTGAACTTTTACTACTGATTACATACATGTAATTTTCATGTTAAGACAAAGAATAGAGCTTTTACTGCTACTAATGGCATACGTGTGACTTCTGTTATATATTGGGCCAACATCTTTTGTAGTTGTAATGCTGATACTGATAGTGAAAAGATTGTCTGGTGCGGCACCATGGTTTTTCCCTTGTTGATTTTGAAAATTTTGCTTGTTTTCTTCTCTTTTCTTTCTTTTCAAAAATTCGCGTTCATAATAAGGTCAGCCCTACTACATCTTTATCTAGAATCGCTAGTGACAAAAGTGATTCGACGAAAATAAAAACGCACAGGAAATGCATGACATATTCCTGGCCTATGCCGTCCATTTTCCTCCAAGGAATCCATGTAAGATGAAAATCTTGAATGCCCTCAAAAGCCTAGAGGACCCAACCACTGACCCCAACAGACTTACGCAACTGATTGATCTTCTGGCTGGGTTTGAAATTTGCCACCTACCTGTACCTGGAAGTAGTTTAAATGCAACGCTTCATCAGGCTCTGCTGAAGCCCACGAAGACTTTTTCCAGCAGCAAACCGAACCTAGAGTCAACACTAGAACCTTCCTGTTTCACACTTCAGGCACCGGAACCACATTATACACAGTACAGAGAATTTGTCACCTGCACTTGCAGAACTGTCCTTCCAGGAATGCAAGCTTTCATTGATGATTGAACGAAGAAAGTACAGGGTTAAATTTGCATGGACATGCCAAGCTTGACTCGTGGACCTCTAATCTGCGCACTAATTATTCTAGCTCCCAACGAGTATTACTTAGGCTATCAGAAATGGCTCAATAGGTATAGGTCCTGAATTGCGGGACTTGACACTGTTTGTGTATAGCCAAACTCCTGAATTCCGGGATGGAAGCTCCAGGACATTACTGTCAGGAAGAAAGAGTAGCTTCACATCTAGCAACCGCCGCAGCAAATTCAGAGAGATGCAACGTGATGGCCACATCGTTGAACAGATGAGTGCAAGTTTAGAAGTAGCAGACAAGAAAAGATCATTGCAGCTCATTCAACCAATTCTCAGGAGAGAGGATTATAATCTTCGAACGTGAAAGTTTCAAAAGAACCTAAAGGTAATTTGTAATTTGATTGGGCGTACGTTGTGCTTCTCACAGAGTATGTATTACAACACGCAAAAATGAATCGTGAAAACTTAAAAAACTGTAGTTCATGACAATATATCACAGATTACGGAAACTGTTTCTCTTACATGTGTCAAACAGTGAGAGACATCTCTTGCTTTTCACCAATTTGAAAATTACCTAGGACCTGACAGCTGAACTTCAGAGAGAAATGCATCACTACTCCAATTGATTGGCGCCGGTGAAGTGTCGTCTTCACTGCTCCATTTACAAAAGCTCAAGCTAGTCTGAGAGCCAAACTGAGAGGAAATCGGGGGATGAGGTATGGCGCAAAGGCCCTCGAGCATTTGAACCACTTTAGTCATCGGTGGCCTTAAATGCATTTCATCCTGTATGCACCACAGGGCAACTTTGATCGCATTCACAATCCTCTCGTCATTTTCGTTGAATTCTAGTCTAGAGTCTAGAATTTCCTCTGGCTTTCCTTCTTCCAACATTTTGAAGGCATAAGAAGGAAAATGGGCCTTTTCAGAAGATTCCGCAGGATCGTAATTTTTCCTGCCTCCGATGATCTCAAGCAACACCATTCCATAGCTGAAAACATCACTCTTCTCCGATATAGGGTTGTTTGTGATCCATTCTGGTGCTAAGTAACCCCTCGTGCCCCTTAATGTTGTATACACAAGACTCTCTTCCCGGCTCATTAGCTTGGCCAAACCAAAGTCCGACACTTTCGCAACAAAATTATCATCCAAAAGGACATTCTCGGGCTTGATGTCGCAATGGACAATCTTGATATCACACTCTTCATGTAGATAAACTAATCCCTTGGCTGTACCCAGAGCAATATTGAATCTAGTATTCCAATCCAGAATCTTACTGGCCTCACTGTTCTTGCAAATCCATTTGTCTAGAGACCCTTTTCCCATGAACTCGTAAACAAGCAGCCGGTGAGCCCCCTCGGCGCAGAAACCTTTTAGCTTGACTAAATGGACATGATGGATGCACCCTATAGTACTAACTTCAGCTCTGAACTCTTTAATTCCCTGGCCTATACCCTCCAGTTTCTTCACAGCCAAATGAGTACTGTCCGCAAGAACACCTAAGTAGACCGATCCGAATCCTCCTTTGCCAATCTTTGAAGAGAAGTTTTCCGTAGCTCTACTCAGATCATCATAACTGAAGCGGATAGGCATACTGGAAAGAATGTCCAAGAAATTGTCTTCTTCTAGAGTCTCTTGAGAATAGTCACCTAACGACTTCTTCTTCTGGCGATACCAGAATACAACATAAGCTAGACCAGCAATGAGTGTAACAGTTGCAAGAACGATGACTGCAATCAAAATCGCATGCTTCTTCTTATTCTTGCTGCCTGCGGCCCCAGAGGTATTTGAAACCTTCATGTATGAATCATAACCATTCAAACCCGGATCAGGTCTTTTAAAATTTCCTATCTGGTTAAACAAGAAGCAATCACCAGAACTGCTATTAAAAAGTAGCACATTACAAGAGCAATTGCTTCGGCATGCTTCTATACAAGCATTCACGGTGGACTTTAGAGAGGGAGTCACAAACCCAATTGCAAAATAATCGAGCTTCTCTCCAATGTATGCAAAATCTACCGATCTATAAGACGAGCTACATGATGATAGAGGTTGAGGTCTGCAGTTGCCGTTGAGAGCAGGAGGGCATTTACACCCAATCTCTAAGGAACAAACCTCATAGGGGTTACAATATTCTGGGACACCGCACGAATTCTGGGGTATCCGAGTAGCTTCCGCAGCTCCTGACATCCCCCTTTGAAGATTAACGAATGTGATCATCCCATTGGCTCCCAAAATTGCAGCCCACATGGCATTTGGATCGGAGTTGTCGGAGAAGACAAACTGCCATAGTAAGGTCTTATTTTGATCATAGAAGTTCCATGAGTTCGAGACCAAAACCACAGAGTGAACATTGTCATTGGTGCTATTGCTAACATTTGTTCTACGGCCGTCACCTTTCATTGACCAATAAGTTTGTGGAGTTTGATATCCGGCAAACAAGATCAGATCACCCGACAAAATTTCGAGATACGCCGACATATTGTTACTGTTTGGGAAATTTTTTAGCTTCATCCCTTCTGCAAATTCCTGAGCACTCACAAGAGTATCAGTAGGACTGCTAAAACTCTGCCAAAGGATCGCCTCATTCTCCCCAATCAACACCAAGTTACCAGAATCCATCAATTCCATGGCAGTGACCTTTTCTCCGGCCGTACCAGTCGACCAGGCCGAATCATTCCCACTCTTCAAGTAGACATTCCCGTTGTCGTCAAACACAAACTTATCAGAACTGCCGACTAATAGGTTTCTGTTAGCAGTCCAAATGACTTGGGAACTGTTGATGTGAATGATGTTCAACAAAAAGGTCGCGACATCAACGCTGGTGTAAAATCCCAACGAAAATGCCGAATTGTTAGATAGCAAGAACCTCCCATTGTGAACGACCCACTCCGTCTGAGAAGCTTGGAATCCAGGCCGAATCTGGCCAACAAGTTGAGTACCAGAAAAGCAAGTCCCGGACAACACGAGGACGCAGAAACACAGGTTCCTGATGACTACCGAGAAAGACATCAACTCCATAGTTGGACCCGTATGGATGGATTCGAGCAAAAAACAGGACAAATCAATACGAGGAAACGGATGACACCCAGAAATCAAATCCCGAGCTTGGCTAAGGATGACAAGTAAAGATTGTATTTTGAGATTAAACTACCAGATGCCAATTCAATCACTATGAACGCTTTGAACTGGGGAATAGAAAAAGATAAGAGGAAAGCCTAGAAATTAGAGGAGCTGTGAGGCAGTTCAATTTTGAGTTTTCTTTCAGGGGGAGTCACCAAGTCTGGAAAGCATTCTTCTTTTACTTTCTTTTGTATGGATTCAATTTGTTAGATTCCACCGGGACTTTAGTGCGTTTAGCTGGCTGTCCTTTTTCCTGTCCTTTTCTGTTTGTGACCCTTTCTGTCTTTTGGGCATCTTTCAACTTTGACCCCTTATGGATGAAAGAATGAGCACGTGGCTTCCATGATAAAAATTGTCATTTTTAAAACAGTAAACCGTGCGTGGAAATCCCCCCACCCACACCCCCCCCCCCCCCCCCAAAAAAAAAAAACACAAATGAGCATTGAAATAAGTCATATTCAATATCGAGTAAAATCTTTTGACGTCATTTAGTATACTTATTTTGCAAATTAATTTGTTTTTGATGTGGTAACGCCTTCAACTTTCGATAGGAAAAAGCAGGCTTTTACCACAAACGGGCAATGATGCCATCATACTACTAAGGTATAGTATAAGGCAGAATTATGTGAGATGGCTATGAATCCAGTAGATTAATATGTCGAAGATGCAATCCATAAAACTGGAGTCATTCATCATTAATGATGTTTTGTTACATAACATATCCCTTTGGAAATTGCACTTTCAATACATTTCTGAGATTTTGTAAGACCGCTTACAAGTTTAACCTATTAAACGAAGTTGTGGTTTAAGCTCCATTTGTTTCACGGAAAAAGTGACATTTTTGGAAAACGTTTTCCAAGAAATTAGTTTCTAGGAAAATAACAAATAAATTTCGGCATTTGGCTGAAACTTAAAAATGAACTAAAAAATATTTTCCGCTATTTAATATGGAAAATCTGATTTGATTTTCTTGAAAAAAAAGTATAAAAAAATTGAAACTTTTAAATTTTTCTTTTCTTTTTTTCTTTTTCCTTCTATCTCTACTAGTCGCCAGCCGTGGCAATGGCCGACGATTAGCCACATGTAAGGTGGAGCCTCAGGCAAGGCTCCACCTCTAGCAAGGCCGGTGAGCTCGAGTCTCACTCAAGGTCGGCAAGGTCGAGCTCATTGGCATTGGGCAAGCTCGAGACTCGCCTATGGCCCGTCGCAGTGGCCGGCGACCGGCCGAGCAAGAAGCGAAAGGAAAAAGAAAGAAATGAAATAAAAAAAGAAAAAACAATTTAAAATTTAAAATGTTTAAAAAATAAAAAAAGTACATTTTGTTAAAAAATATTTTTATAAGAACAAATGTTTCTTCGATTAAGGACTCGAGTCTGAGCACCAAGGACTCGCGCATGGCCTTTGTGGACCCGAGCCTGATTGTTGGAGACTAGAGCTCGAGCGTCGGGGACTCGAGCTTGACCACCTTTATTGATGCAAGCTCGGAAGCCGGGGCTTAGGGCATGGGCACCAAGAGGTTGGTCATGGCCTTGATGGACTCGGGCATGGGTGCCGAGGGATCAAGAACCGGGGTCCCAAGCTCAGCCTCAATGGACCCAAGTCTGGCCTCAATGGACTCGTGCCTGAGGTTTAGAGACCTGGTTCGGTCTCGATGGACTTGGGCCCGGCCTTCATGGACCTAGCTCAGGCGTTGGAGACTCGGGAGCCAGCACCGGGGTTCTTGTGTTCAAACGTAGAGTTTCGGGTCCAAACGCTAATACTTAGTCATATTATGAAAAATGTTTTTCTTGATTTGAAAAACATTCTCTGTTGACTCATTTTCCTAAGCGAACCGAAGACTGAAAAACGAGGAAAATATTTTTCTGAAAAATATTTTTCGCGAAACAAACCAAGCCTTAATATTTAATTATTCTATCACTCCTCGTTACGTTTAGTCTGGTCTTTTTTTACTAGTACTGAGCATGGAAATATGTAATTTGGGAGGCAAATAGAGGTCTGGAATGATTTGAACTTAGGACATCATGCTCTGATACCATATGAGAATTTGCATGACTACTATTAACTGTTTTAAAAGCTTAGGTTGTCAAACGAAAGTGTGATTTAATAATTAATAATTTTATCAGCACTAATTATGCTAAAAATTAAACATGACTACTATTAACTGTTTTAAAAGCTTAGGTTGTCAAACGAAAGTGTGATTTAATAGTTAATAATTTTATCAGCACTAATTATGCTAAAAATTAAACAAAAGAAAGGAAGAATAAAGATGCTAGTGGGAGTAGAAACGCGATATTGAATTGGAATTGGAATCATAACTACTATTCATTTCGAACAAGCTTGTCGCCGCCGCCCCATCATGCACGGGTAAACCTAAAAGCTTTCTAAGACCAAGGAGTGACTGGGGTTTCGAACATGTGACTCGGGGCTTCAAATCACTTGGAATTATCGTTAGGCCAACCACTGCGGTGGTGAACTCTCAGCTAGTTAAATGAGTTATTCTTCAACTAGTTAAATTGGTGTGTTGACCTCCTGTTACTAGGTTACATGCTAAAATAAATATTTAAATTTATAAAAATGTGAAATTTGAGTAGTCACAAACTTTAAGTTGGGTTTCGATTTGATTAAATCAAAAAACAGGTGAATTGATCTTTATGCGTCCAATTTTTTTTGTATGTAATATTTTTAGAGTAATCAAAAGTCTCAGGAACACCCGCTATTCATCATAGAACTGTCATTTTTTTCTTTTCATATCGAGCAAATTGCATACACGATAGTTTTATTTTTCTCTGCACGATATTTCTTTTGATGTCTCAATAGATCTCAAATTGACACATTGTGTGATAAATTTCAGAACTGGGTTCATACTTGGATCAATGATTTAGATAATTGAGACAACGAATGAAAGCACAGATCTTCATCTCTTTTATTTCAACTTTAATGTCCTATATAAAATAATTTATTCTAAGTCTTTTCTTCTTTGGATTTTCTAAGTGTGATTAAGCTGAAAGTATTGTTAACACCAAAAAAATACCCAAGTATTTTGGTCGATAATGCGATTAGCGGAAGCCTGAGAGCACGTTTTATTGAGAGCAATCGATCAAGTAAAGTCAGTTGGAAAGAAAGCCCAACTTTGATCAATAGAGATGTCAATGAAAAACAGCTAAGCACTAAAGTAAAGAGTTGACAAATGAAGTATATCGACTTGGTCGACGGGGAAAAACTTGGGATGTAACTATCAAATAGTAGCTCGAGTCGGTAGTTATAGCCGTTTGAAGATAAGTGTATTAAATTGTATGAGCCACTTAGAGCATTTTTTAAATTTTTTAATAATTGTTTTTGTTACTGTGGATTGTAGGTATAATACCCAAGCCGTAGTCATTGTAAATGATCGCCCAATTTATCCGAGAACACATGCTGTTCATCTATATTTTCAATGTATCTTTACATTTTTAAGTAGCGTTTACATTGCTGGTAATGATTGAACCCGATACTCGCACTTATCAATTTCTCGCTATTAATATTTTCTGTCCAAGAATAAATTTAAAAAAAAAAAAACCGGACCCTAACCTTTATCAGTTGAACAAGTTCATTCAATGTGAAAGGTATTTCGCCCTTTTCGTGAAACAGGTACTACACATCTCATGAAATTAAAAAATCTCACTGTTGATGTCCCGCGTAGATCAAATTTGTCTCATACTCCTTAATTTCTTAGTGTGGCCAACTAATCTTGACCTTTGATATAATTATAAATTACGATGAAAACGAGGAACTTTATTTTCTCCAAAGTCGTCCATGAAGTCAAATTTTTGTTTTCACAATCAAGTATTTCAAGTGATTGATAGGAAATGTTGCTTTCTGGCTTTTCTAGACGTAAGTTGCCATGCCGAAAAGATGGAGGAAACTCTTCTCTTTGTCAAATCACGCTTGATATCTTGCATCACACGAGGCCAATAGAAGGATCAGCAAGAGATTAGCAATGCTAATCCACCGACCATACTGATGACCCAGCGGCTAATCCAATATCAATACATCTAATAAGTCTTTGATTAGTTGATTGAATATAATCTAATAGTAAATTAAAAAATTTCACTGTTGACGTCCCGCATGGATCAAATTTGTCTCATACTCCTTAATTTCTTAGTGTGGCCAACTAATCTTGACCTTTGATATAATTATAAATTACGATGAAAACGAGGAACTTTATTTACTCCAAAGTCGTCCATATATGAAGTCAAATTTTTGTTTTCATAATCAAGTATTTCAAGTGATTGATAGGAAATGTTGCTTTCTGGCTTTTCTAGACGTAAGTTGCCATGCAAAAGATGGGGGAAACTCTTCTCTTTGTCAAACCACGCTTGATATCTTGCATCACACGAGGCCAATAGAAGGATCAGCAAGAGATTAGCAATGCTAATCCACCGACCATACTGATGACCCAGCGGCTAATCCAATATCAATACATCTAATAAGTCTTTGATTAGTTGATTGAATATAATCTAATAGTAAATTATTAGCCGAGTGTGAATTTTCCCCAACTAATGCATATGACCACATTCACTCAAAGATGAGGTTCTTCTTCCATTTACAAGCAGGCAAATAAATGATCAAATAATACACGAGGGTCCTCCCTCTTTCTTTGACTAGCATGAACACGTTACAAATATAATTCGCACAATGTTGCCAATGGATAGGGAAAAATAAACTCTTAATGATATACAGGAAGCAAAACCGAATGCAAGAAAGGAAAACCTTATGGATGTTAATCATCGTCAAGACATTGTCGACGCCTATCCATCACGTAATCTTTCCCAGGTAAAACTTGAGTGATGGCAAAATTACTTGTGATTGCTGAGATTAATACATTGTTCTCTGTCTTTGGTTTGTGCCGATTCTTCCCTAAAATTTTAAGGCTGTCAAGACAATCAGCAATAACGATAAAAAATGCCTTCACTTACTCTAATGTATGTATGTTCGGTTAAATTCACTTTTATGCCATAATATTTATATTTTATCCTAGGGGTGGGCACCAGTTCCCAGTTTCAAATTTTTGGAAGTAGAACTGACCAATCCAGTTCCTGATTCAGGGTATTGAACCATCAGTTTTATAACTTGTTTTAGGAACCCAAATGTTAAGTTTCTCTCTCTCACGAGTCTCACCTTATGCCGGTCGCC